CGCTTCCAGCACGGACATTCCCGCCGCCTGCGCCTCGAGCCCCTGGTACTGCAGATGGGCAGCCTGGAGAGCAGTGGTGCTGACCCAGACTGGCAGGAACTTCAGATCGTGGGTACCTGCCCTGACATCACCAAGCACTACCTGCGTCTCACCTGTGCCCCCGACCCATCCACTGTGCGCCCTGTGGCGGTAAGTGCCTGGGATGGGCAGGTCCTCCCTGCAGGGCGGGTGCTAGCATGAGGCCGTGGCACCCACACGGGAGGGATGGCAGAGACAGCACCCGAGGCTGTGGTGTGGTGGCAGGGACCTGCAGCAGGGCAGGGACTTTGGGGCCTGGGAGCTCTCTGAAAGGTGACTTGAGGACAGAACTTGTGTTTTGAAGACTAAGTCCGGGTCGTGTGACCTCATCGGGAGACTTGCGGGGCTCTTAGCCTCCGTCTCCTAAGGAAGCGGCCTTCCCAGGCCAGCTTGCCTGAGACGGGGAGGGATCAGGCGCCTGTGTCCTCTCCTGAGGCCACAGCAGCGGCATGGTTCGTGGTCCGTCCCAGGGGACACACTGACGTGGGCAGCTGAGGTCGGGAGCAGTTACTCTTGCCAAACGTGTTGGGTTCTTTTTAAAGTTGGTAGCAACTTGTTAAACGAGTCTGATGTTGCCGCCTTCATTTTAGAACACTGAGTTGGTGGAGGTGTAGTGGGTTTTAGTGATGGCTTCACTCATCCTGTTGAAATTTTTCTGAGCCATCATTTGGTTTCCTTCCCAGGTTTTGAAAAAGTCTCTGTGCATGGTCAAGTCCCACTGGAAAGAGAAGCAAGACTATGCCTTTGCCTGTGAGCAGATGAAGTCGATTCGGCAGGACCTGACGGTGAGGGGGCTGCTGGGAGGGTCTGTGGTGGGAGAGCCCTGCCCTGCGGTGGCCTCACGCTCTCCTGCCGTTCCAGGTGCAAGGTGTGCGAACGGAGTTCACGGTGGAGGTGTATGAGACGCACGCCCGCATCGCCTTGGAGAAGGTGAGTGGGGTGCTGAGGCCCTTTCGGGTTCTTCCTGGGCTCCCTGTCCGGGCCTCACGGTCTTTCTCTCTCTCCATGCCCCGGGCTCCAGGGCGACCATGAGGAGTTCAACCAGTGCCAGACGCAGCTCAAGTCGCTGTACGCCGAGAACCTGCCAGGCAACGTGGGCGAGTTCACTGCTTATCGCATCCTTTACTACATCTTCACCAAGAACTCAGGAGGTGAGAGGCGCTGCCTGCGGGACGGGGTGGCCCCAGGCCCCCAGGGTTGGGCGCTGCTGATCCTCTTCTGTCTCGGGCCGCAGACATCACCACGGAGCTGGCGTACCTGACTCGGGAACTGAAGGCAGACCCCTGCGTGGCTCACGCCTTGGCACTGAGGGCGGCCTGGGCTCTGGGCAACTACCACCGCTTCTTCCGGCTCTACTGTCATGCGCCCTGCATGTCTGGGTACCTGGTGGACAAGTTTGCAGACCGGGAGCGCAAAGCTGCCCTCAAGGCGATGATCAAAACGTATGTGAAGCTGGGTTCTCCCCCGCCCCCTCCGCTCTGCTGGCCCTGCCGCTGCCTTCCTTCCCCACTTCCCTCCTCCCTCTGTACACTCCTGGGCTGTCAGGCTTCCAGCTCCCGTGACCTGGACACTGGTCCTCTCTCCCCTTGTCTTCTTTCTACACGTACCCTGCTCCCCAGCCCCTCCCGCTTCCCTTCCCACGGTTGGCCCTCTGTCTCCCTAGGCCCGCCTCTGCATCTCTCTTCTTCCCCATTCTGTCTCGCTGCTCCAGGGTTCCCTCTCCACCCGAGTCTCTATTTCTCCTGCTCACGTCACCCTGGACCCTGGTTTGTTTTCTTGCTCTGGGCTCTTGATTTTCTCACTCGGAGGTCTCTGTTCACCTTTCAAGGCTCTCCTGACACTGAGCTCCCCCTCGGTAGAGACAAACTAGGAAAGTTGGTTGTGCTCTTGGCAGCTTCTGATCTAACGGGACCAAGACCCCATTCCAACTTGAGCTCCTTTAAGAGTACAGAAAATATGTAGGGAGGCAGGTGTGATGCAGGGACAAGCCAGATCAGGGACTGTATGAAAAAGAGCAAGCTCTCTGTACGTTAGGTATTCCCTGTGTTGTGCGCACATGCATGGTGGGGAACTTGTGGTTCTCTGTCAGGGGTGAGATGCCCCTGGGTGACGTAGGGAGATGTCAGGTGACCTCTTTTGTTGGCACAAGTAGGGGTTGCTACTGGTGTCTAGTGGGTAGAGGCTAGGGATGCTGCTCGGCCTCCTGCAGTGCCCAGGACGCCCCACAGCAGAGAATCACCTGGCCCCAGTGTCAGTCTTGCCAAGGTTGAGAACCCTCAGTCAGAGGTTGGTAGGTCCAAGGGGCCACCTCAGTTAGCTTAGGAGCCACAGGAGTGGTGTGGAACTGGGGAGGGGCAGTCACACTGAAGTGAGGAGACACACTCCAGGATCTGGTTTGGGTCCAGATTTAAGGCAGAGGCCGAGCCAGGGCAGGAGCCGCAGAAGTAGACAAGGACGTGGCACAGAAACATGAAGGTGACAGGATACACAGGGCCTGGTTACCTACCTGGGAGTGACGGGGAGGTGGGGTGTCTAAAGGCTCTGTGGGCTGTCCCCGAGTCTGCCCTCTGCAGCGGGATAGCAGCTCCCAAGCTTGTGTGTGGCTCCCAGGGGTGTCGTGTGGGCTGGTCACTGTGTTGGTTAGTTCGTATATGCTGGGTCTTGGTTGGGGCCGTAGCCGTGAAGGTTCCTTGTAGGAGGGGCCTTGGTCTACATGGGCCGCACGCTCTCCTCCCCCCACTCTTTCTTAGCACACAAGCTCCTCCCTCCCAGAGCCCCCAGAACAGGTTTTCGCAGGGTGGCCAGGAGGCCAGCTCAGTTGTGGGGAGAAATAGGCTCTCTTGTGCTCCCATGGATATCCAGAGCTGTGATGGCGCGCGGACTTGAGGCAGGACTGGGTCATGTCCTTTGTGCGGCATTCTCCCTGTGTGATGCTGGCCAGGTGGCTCCGCCTTTGGAGTTACGGTTCCCTCGGCGTCTGTTTCTAAAGGGTAGGGTGACGCAGTTTCTGGAGAGAATTCAGCGGGTTAACAGCCATTTCCCGGCACACGCCAAGTCTTCTTAGCAACTTCAAGTGACTGTTGCGAGCGTGTAATAGGCGTTGGCTGACCCTGTGCCTGGCATTCCTGAGGCACTTTGACCCAGGCCGGGGGAACAGCCGGGGTGGGGCCCCCAGAGTAGCTGTCAGACCTGCCAACCCATGCCCATCTCCATCCCCTCGGGTCACTCCCTCTGCCTGGCCCCCTGCCCTTGGGCCACAGCGGGCCCTCTTCTGAGGGACTGCTCAGGCCCTTGAGCAGCGGAAGAGCCAGCTGGGCCCTTCCTTCCCATCCCCTCTCCTTGGTCCCCCTTGTACAGGTAAGTGAGGGTGAAGGGGGGCACAGCCGGGGCTGGGGCCACCAGCCCCACCCCGGGCCCCCCCAAGCCCTGGAGGTGGGGAGGCTGGGTGGGGAGGGGTGAGAGGTCAGCAGGTAACGTGCCGAGGAAACCCTTTGGGTGCCCTAAGGGGGGGCACCCACTCCCTGCTCGTGGGGCCCTCCCCTGCCCGCCGCCCGCCTCATCACATTCTCCTCTTGTCTCCGTAGCTTCCGCCCTGCGCTGCCAGTCTCCTACCTGCAGGCCGAGCTGGCCTTCGAGGGCGAGGCCGCCTGCCGGGCCTTCCTAGAGCCCCTGGGCCTGGCATACACGGGCCCGGACAACGCCAGCATCGACTGCCGCCTCAGCCTGGCGCAGCTGTCAGCCTTCTGAGCACCAGCGCGGATGGGGGCGGGGTGGGGGCAGGGCTGTGGCCCCCCAGCACCGCCTTTGCCGATTTTGTTTTTGAGCCATGGACTTGGGTTGTAAATTAGTTCGTGGGGAGTGGGCTCCAGGAAGAGCCGCCGCCCCTGTCCCCCGTTTTCCTACCGGGGGGTCTGTACAGAGATTTTTTTCTACATTTTTATTTTTTGCCTCAGAGGGATGGGATTGGGGGAGGAGGGGGTGGGACAGCGGAGGGCTGGGGGCATGGTCTGTAGGCTGCTCTGTGTCCGCCTGGCACCTCCACTAATGCTGTCTCAGTGTTTTCTCTCTCTCTCTCTCGAGCTCGTACTCCGGTACCAACCTGGCTCCCTGGCCCATCCCATGCCGGGGGGGGCCAGAAGAAGACAGGCCGCTCCGCCCGTGCCCGCCCGCGGCGGGGGCACCAGCACACCAGCCCGCCACCCGCCACCTGCCCGCCTCACCACAGACTCTTGTTGCCCAGCCCTCCGGGGCCTCCGTGTTTGGGGCTAGGGCAGCCGTGTAGAGACTGTGCCCCGCCCTCAGCCCCCCACGCCAGAAACGCCGACGCCAAGCCGCCACCACATCCACGCCCACACTCCGCACTGAGGACTCCGGAGGCCATCGCGGGACCTTGGCCGGGCCGCCTCGTCTGCAGTTGCATTAAGTTGTCTCCGTGTCCCTCCTCCCTCCACCCCCGTGTCTCTTCTGGTTTTTTTTTCCTTCCTTCCCTCCTCCTCCTGCTCGCCACCCTTCTTTGGTTCCGCACAGGTAAAACGGTTACCCTCCCTTCCTCCCTTGCCTTCATGGATCACCAGCTCACGTCATGTTTCCTTCTCTTTTCTTTTTGTGTGTGTTTATTTAAGTTGTTTTTCTTCCTCCCCTTTTTCTTTTTGCCCCCCCCTTCTGCCATGTAACTGGAGGATGTGCGATGAGTTTGCAAACAGCTGGACTGTCAGGCTGCTTTTTTTCCAGATGTTCCTCCTCTGCTTCCCTCCCTTCCCTCTCCCCTCCCTTCTCCTTCCTTCATTCTTTCCTTGGATCACTGAGCACCATTTGGAAGCTTGAGAGAAACCAAAATTAAAGAGAGAGAGAGAGAGAGAGCACTTTGTCCCTTCCTGCGTGGCCTGGGTCTTCCCAGGTTCTTTGGGGTTGACAGCGGTCTCCTGCAGAGGTCTGAGGGGACTGTCATCCCAGGGGCGGCTCAGCCAGGGGCTGGTAGGTGTCCCCTGCCCTGCCTATGCGGCACAGCCAGACTTCCCCTAGGGGCTGGCTCCCCAGCTCCTGCCTGGGGCTGAACCCAGGGTGGGGGAGGCCGACTTGAGATCCGTGGGGCACCTTGGCTAGGGTGAGGTGGGGGTGTAGCCCCCCTAGGGGCTGTACTACTCTTGAGCCCCTCGGCTTCCAGCCTCTCTCTCAGCACTTGGGCCCTATCTTCCGGGGAGGGGGAGGGGGGGGCACAGAGCACATGCTGTCCCAGGAGAAGCAGGCTCCTAAAGCTCAGCTGCAGGGGTGCCTGAATTCCTGGGGCCAAGAGCGCGCGCGTCTTAGTGCACCGACTGCGGCGGCTACCTCCCCGGGGCCTGTCGGCCTCAGGAGGGCTAGTGTCAGGTGTAGGGCCCCCGCGGGTACCATGAACGCAGCGCACGAGGGTGCGGCTCGAACCAGCTCTTCCCGGGCCTTGGCCGCCCCCACCTGCAGCGCGGCATCAGTCACCATGACAGCCACAAAATGCGTGGGGCGGGGTTGGCGAGGCGCCGCGGCCCTGGCTCCAGCGGCCCCTCTGCCTTCCCAGGGCCAGGCACCCGGACCCTACGCTGCTTCCGTCTCAGGAAAACCTCCTGCGGGGGTTCATCCCGGGGCCGCCTGTGCCGCTCCACTGTGTGGCGGCCGGCTTCAACACCCTTTCAAGCTCTGTCCACGGGGAAGCCTGGCCTTCGGCCCTGCGCCGCTCCCCGGCCTCCAGCCCGGTTCCGTTATCAGCGGGAACGGCAGCCACCCCTCCGTGCGCGCCCCCGCCGCCATGGGCGCCTGCCCCGTCGTGCGCGTTCTCGCCGCCGCCGTGTGTGGCCTCACATCCGTCGTGCGCGCCCCCGCCGCCCAGCGCGTCCAGGAAGGTGGGCCCGCGGCCAGCCGCCGAGCCCGAGCCGAAGACGAGGTCGGTGCGCGAGGCGCGGTCCCACACGATGCGGCCGCGGAAGCGGAAGTAGCGCGCCCGGTGCTGCGGCACGGCCAGGACGCCGGGCCCGAGCGCCGCCAGCGGCTCGTCCCGGCAGAAGGCGCCGAAAGGCTCCTCGCGCACGCCCGGGAAGCGGTCGGCGTAGCCCACCGAGAAGTCGGCCGGGTCGAGGCGCGGGTCCCAGCGGATACGCTGGATGACGGCCGCGGCCGTGCGCAGCGGCGGCTTCTTGGCCTCGGCCTCGGCCCCGGCCTCGGCCCCGCGGCGAGTTGGCGCCGGCGCCCCCGGGTGGGGCTGGCGGCAGCGGGCGCCGAAGCGGCAGCGGCCCTCCAGGAAGAAGCGGCAGGCCGGCGGCGCCGCGGGCTCGGCTGCGGGGGCCGCCGCCATGGGAGCGGGGTGCGGGGGAAGCCTCGCCGGGAAGTCACCGGCCGCGCCCCGTTCCCGCCGCCCTAGGAGCCTAGCACGCGCGCTCGCGGGGCCTCCGGTCACTGGCCTGGCGGGCGGCTCCGTGCGCACGCTGTCCTCGGGGAGCCTGACCGCGCCTGAGCGGCCCATGCCTGTGTGTGGCCCTCCTCGGCCCAAAGGGCTTACAGGCTCGGTGGGCACCGCCCGCAGGGAGACCGACGCCCTCGGGGACCCGGACCCGCCCTATCGCGGGTCCAGGAGGTTTACAGGTGCGACCACGCCCTTTTGGGCTGCCCTCCGCTCCGCTCCGCGTGTATAACCCCGCCTACCCTAGGTTTTGTCACTGGGCTGGCTCCGCCCTTACCTAGGGGTCATTCCGCCCCTCGCCTAAAGATTTGCACGTGCTGCCCCGCCCTTCCGCCCCTTGTGGGTCGTGCCCTCGGCTGGACAACTGTATCCCAGCAGGGCGCAAACTAGGTAGCCCAGACTTGGGACGCCGCTGTCCCTCTCGGGCCGACGCATCTTTCGGAGGGGGGTGTGACTCCTCCACCGGGACCCTGCCTCTTCCCAACCACTTTCCTGCGCGGCCGCTCACAGGGTAAGGGCCGCTCGCCTCGAGGGGTTCACTGGATACGCGAGCCGGGAGTCAGGCTCCCGGAGCCACTGCACTCGGCCCCAGGGAGCGAATCAAGCCAGCCCCCTGGAGCGAGTCAGGCCAGACCCCGGGAGCGTCAGCGGGTCCCCTGCAGCCAGTCAGGCCGAGCCCCCCAGGAGCGAGTCAGGTGGGCTCCCCTAGAGTGAGTCAGTGGGCCCCCGGAGACAAGTCAGGCCGGGCCCCGGGATCGAGTCAGCGGACCCCCGGAAGCGAGTCAGGCCGGACCCCGGGAACGTCAGATGGGCCCCCCTAGAGTGAGTCAGTGGGCCCCCGGGAGCAAGTCAGGCCGGGCCTTGGGGCAGGTCTGGCAGGCCAGGCGCTCGGTCAAAACTGATGAATGAATGGGGCTGTGAGAGCGGCGACGTTGGGACGCCAACCCTGAAAGGGGCACCGTGTAACCACGCCCCCCGCAGTTAAAGGGGCCACATCCCACCACTCCGGGCCAACCGTATGTACGATCTCGACCTTCGTCCAGCCTCTGCGGGGAAAGAGCTACAGGTGACACACACCTGGTCCTTAAAGGCGCCGGGACCCCATCACCGATCCCCCTTGCCCCTCCACCCCGTCTTCCCTTCCCACGAGCAAAGTGAAGAGACAGACCTCGGAGCAGAGACCTTAGCCGTTTATGTATAAAGAAGTAGGATGCCGGACGGTAAACGCGTCGGAAACAGGGGTGCCTACAGGCCGATGACGTCGTCCAGCTCGAGATCCGCGTTGGGGCGGCAGTGGGCCCTGGAGTGCTGTGCCCCGGAGCTGGGGTCCAAGTCGGGCTTGGCGGCAGCGGCCCCCGGGCGCTCCGCGTCCATGACGCCCAGCACCGCGTCCAGCATGGAGGGGCCCAAATCCAGGTGGAAGGACAGCAGCGGGTCGGCGGGCGCGGGCGCGCGGAGGGCAGGCGGCGGGGGCTGCGGCACCGCGGGCGGCGGCGCGGAGCGCGGGGCTCCGGCGGGCGGCGCCCGGGGCTCGGGAGGCGGCCCGCCGCCGTGACGGCTCAGGAACGAAGTGTCCCCGAAGGCGTCGCCGCCGCGCCCCACGTGCAGCGTGTGCCGGAAGTCGCCGAGCGGCGCGGAGATGGACAGGGCGCCGCGCTCAGGCCGCTTCTTGGGCTGCGCGGGGCCCAGCTGCTTCAGCACCGGCATCTGCGGGGATGGGGTGGGGGTGGGGACGGGTCAGCGCCGCCTCCGCGCGGAGGGGGCGACCCAGCCCACGTCCCCACCCTGGGCCTAGACAGCGGTTCAGAGGATGCTCTCCCAAACAACAGGACGGCAGATGGTGGCGGGAAACGGCGTCTCCGGAGGCCCTAAGTCACAGACTGCAATTTTGGTAGGCTTGATTCCACTAAGAACTAATATCACAGCCCTCCTACCGGTCGGGCAACAGGCAACATGCTTCACCAACTCCTCCGAGCGTCTCCTAAGCTTGGCAGAGAAACTCCAGCTTCTCCGAGGCCCCTTTCCTGAAGACAGGGCTGACTTTGTCCACCAAGTGCCCCAGGCACAGTGCCTAGGGCCCACCACACTTCTAGAGGCCCAAAAAATGTTACAGTGTTTTAACTTATTTTAAAATGTGTGGATTATGTCTGTCTTTACACCAACACAGTTATAAAATATAAATAAATATGTATGCATGCAAGCTTTGCCTAGGGCACACACAAGTCATAATGCAGGTCTGCCTAAAACCTCAAATTCAGGTTCAGGGTGGGCCTGGGCATCTGTACACTTGTACAACATTTTATAATTCGAGTTATTTGATTTTGAAAGGGACAATATAATGTGTTACATTTTTGCAAATTTCTCTAAAAATAGCAAGAATGGCATAAATTTGAAACTGGCAGCTAGTCCCCTATAAACTCAGTGCGCGATTGCCACATGGCTGCCCTGGCTTCTACGGTAAATATGGTAAATTGCCAACTTTTGCCTATATCCTGGAACCTGGCTGTTTTTATGGAACTTCTGGGAAGGACTTTGATGACCTTGTACTTTTGTTTTAACAGTCACTGTTATCATAATAATAAAAAAATCTTTCTGTTTGAATTGAAGCCCCACCCTTTCTTTGCCAGCTGTATGATTGGGATAAATTATGTGATTTCTCTATGTCTGTTTCCTCTCTGTAAAATGGATAAAATAACACTACCTTCCTTGCAGAGCACATAGAAAATCTCCATTAAAGACAACTATATTTGTAATAGTGCCAGCTAATTAGTAGTGCTAGTGCTGGGGGCGGGGGGAGGAGAGGATGTTTCCTCAAATAACTGTAGAACAAGATCAAGATTTGATAAAATCCTAGGAAGAAGTCAAAGCAGTCAGCACTATTCTTTTAGTAACTAGCACCCTGGGAAATATCGCTGATAATGCAGAGAAAAATTAAAGCTAAGAGGATTTAAAATAATTATAGTTGGATGTGTTCTGAGGATTGCCCTTTACCCTATCCCAACATGCACACACACACTTTACATTTATTTCTCTGAGAAAACTGGTCTTGATTTACCACCTCTGTAGTGTTTCTCAAACTTCTCTGACCTCAGCCTAGATGAAAAAATATATTTTAACGGCAACGTGACACGCAATCACCTCTCCTCCCCACACCCTCCCCCAGGGAAACAAACATTTTACGAAACAAGACTTACAACATGCTAGGCACTCAGATATTTTCAGTTCTAATCTATTTTATTTTGTTTTAAATGCTTATCTCTGCTCATTAATAAATCTCAATCCACAGTTTAAAAAAAGAAACAAAAACAAAAACAAAAACCCCTCTCCCTGTGCTAGCAGTGACCGGCCTTACTCTGCAGTGAGTTGCAGGTGAAAAGAACACAACTCAGCCAAATGCCTAGGTTTCCATCTGGCTGTGTGTGTGTGTGTGTGTGTGTGTGTGTGTGGCTTTGGGCAAGCTACTTAACCTTTTTGACTTCATTTCCTCCTCTCCAAAATGGAACATAGGAATATAGGATGTTCCTGTAACACTTCCTAGTCTCTTTGCAAGATTGCAAGATTGGTCGGATGTTGCCAGTAAAGTCTTGGCAATACCCAGGACACAGCAAAAGTTCAGTAAAATGCTCAGTGGCCACCTGAGATCATTCTCCCATGTCCCAGAGAAGGACACACTCAGAGAGGGTATGTGACTTGCCCAAGGTCACAAAGCCAGTTCTGTGGGACTCCAGAGCCTAGACTTACCACTTCCACTGCCTGCTGCCTCTTGAACTGACCCCTCCCCGGGCAGCCCTCTGCCACTTGGCTCTTCTCCCTGCCCATACCCTAGTTTGTCCCTCATCCCATCCTTCTATTGCCCTCCCAGGCAATGCCGCAACGCCACTGCCATTTTCCAGTGCCTGGCCAAACACACCTGCCATTTCCTTTCCGTGGGACCCTGAACTCACTTCCTCAACCTTAAACCTCAGTTTAGTCCACTGAAAAACAGAAGTCAGAATGCCTGTTTGCTAGGGGTACTTGCGAAGTATAGTCATGATGCTGATGTTGTATGTCCTAAGCACTTATTCTGGGCCAGGTAGAGCACCGAAGTGCGTTACTCAAACAAACTCCTTCCATCTTCAGAACAACTCAGTGAGCTTTACAGAGGTGGTGGCTGAGGTACAGAGAGGTGGAGTAAGTTGCCCGGGGTCACACAGCAACAAATGTTGGGGGCTGGTTTTGGAAACCAGGCAGAGTCTAAACCTGATGAGAGTCTAAAGATGATACCCTACTGTTCATAGCCTCCCCCCTTGGATAGGGTGGGTGGGTGTGCATCCCCATGGAAACAATGTTTCCATATCCAGGGATTTCCTACACCCCTGACCATGTTTGCGTTTCTTTCCTTTTTTCCATCCCAGACAGAGAATAATGAGTTAGAAATCATTTCTGAGTGCAGCCTCTTCTTGCTAGCTCTGAGGGCCTCGGGCAAGTCACCCCACTTCGGAGTGACTCGAACCTCAGGGTCCTCTTAAATAGAGGGCTCTAACCTCCCTCTAGCAGCTCGATGCGATGAGGTCATGCTAGGAAAAAACCCCCTCAGCCGGCCAGGGCTCCTACAGAGGGGCTGTTGTTAGTGACAAACGCGCAAGAGGCAGAGCGTGCAGGAGCGAGGGCGGGACCCCGAGGGGCCCTGGCTCCGCGACTCGAGGCTCAGCGGAGCCGCCCTCCTCCTGCCTCCCTCCGCCCCAGCTGCGGGAGTGGAGGGCACAGCTGGTTCACCTCTGTCCTCTCCGGCCCCAGCCCCGCCAAGACGGAAATAACCGCCCGCTCCACACCCGGCCCGACCGGTTCTCGGCTCCGGGGGGAGGCGGCGAGGCGGGCGGGGCCGGGCCCGGGAGGGGGAGACCCCAGCCCGTGGG